ACGCTTGTTTAATGCAGTACAAACCATTGTTTAATGCAGTGGAATGGCAGACAAAATTTATGCAATTCAATTAAAAGGAAAAAAATTACTAAACTTAAATAATGTGGCATTCTTCTAAAACAAAAGACCCTGCAAAGAGACGTGGAGGGGTGGCGGGGGGCTGGGGGTGTGTGAAAGTGCGCATCTCTGCCTCCTCCCAAAAGGGATGATAGAATGACAGTGGAATTAAGTTACATTTATATTACATTACTTATTTTTGTAATTTTATCTTTTAAATTTTGTTTAAAGTAACAAAAGGTAGGTTACCTCTATAAAGTGCTCTAAAATATGATTGTTGATTACAGTTATTAATTTTTGAATACATTTTATCACAATTACTTCCACCCACATGGAGGTAATGCTTCGAACCTCATCTTTGTTTAACAACCACTCTTATCTGCTTGTTACACACGCTATCGGCTCATTTAATGGGGCGTAACCAAACCAGTTTGCAAATCTAAACACTTGCGCAGCAATCTTTTTAGATCATCTAAAACACTCCCACTTTTTGCATGTAATAAAAAAAATCTTTTTAGATCATCTAAAACACTCCCACTTTTTGCATGTAATAAAAAAATATATATATATATACAAAAATTTTAAGGTGCAATTTAGCACCTGTTATTCTGAATCTTTAAGGATAAGGCCCTTTAATATCAAAGTAGCATGGAGTGGAAATACAGTCACAGGAAGTGAAGTCCACAAAGACAAAACAATAACAGTACTCATCATTCTATGGTTCTGGGATGAAAAAAGCAGGACAAAATTTTAACTTACCGGTAGGCTGCTGATGGCCAAAAAAGTGTCAACAGACGTAACTATAGAAGTAAAGAATAGACTAATAAACCTTGAAAACAAACAAGAAAGAAAATAAATTAAATTTAAAAAAAAGAAAAGTGATTAAAATTAGATAAAATGGGATAAAATACAGAAAAAATGTACTGAATGATAGAGGTTTGAATAAAAAAAGACAATATTTGATCTTGTATCCCTAAAGCTATTATTAATGAATGTAATAGACCATGTTAGGCTTGCTTTCTCTATTTAGAACATTGATTTACACCTCACTGCCTTACAGTGTAAGAAAGCAATCAATCTTGCTCCTAATTCCTTTTATTCCTTTTTACAGATATTACATTACTACCTTACTAAATATAACTTCTTGCCCTCTGTCTTTGTCACCCAAATAAGGTATTCTTACCATGGAAGACTATCAGAAATGATTAATTGCAATTAATGAATGATGTTAATTTTCCTGATCAATCAGGAGGAGGCAGCAAAGGAACAAAGGGAAAATGAGGATAATAAGAATTTAATTTGGTATTAGCCAGAAGTCAATCTGTACATAAACTCTGGAGAATCTGAAAGGTGCTTTCCTATATATCTGATGTTGCAGCAACATGATGCAACAGCTGGAAGGTAAACTTTGTGTTTACATAATCTTGTCTAAAATAGCAAAGACAAAAGGCAAAAAAGTGATGAGAAGCGGAGAGACATCCACATGAGATGCCACTGGGAACAGCACATGCCTGCCTGCTTGTCTGTCAGTCTGTCTGTCTGTCTGCTTAGCCTTGAAAATCCCATCTCTCAGAGCCAGACGACCACAGAACTGATGCCCACGCTGTATGTGCATGCACACAGACGCGCGCACATGTGAACACACACATACAGTTGCCTGTTCTATCCTACGCTATCGATCTGCACCCCACTCTTCATTAGAAAGACAGATTCAAAGGCAACAAGAAGCAGTGAGACGTGCTGAGAGAGTATGTGTTTCCTTTGTCTGCACACATGCAGCATGTGTGAGGGTGTGTGTGTGCTCCAAAGTGTAAATTCATAGTCAAGGGAGTTGTGTAAGCTTTTTGGTTACATCCTTTATATGCCTGTGTTCTTAATAAAGTTTTTCCTGTTCTCCCCAGTGTGTACATGTGCTCAGGCTGCAGAGCTGTGGCTCTATGTGGATGCATTGGCAGGTATTAGTAACATTGGGAGAAGATCTGTGTTAATCAAATGCAGTCTGTCCTTGCTGGGTGTTCCTATGGAAACTCTCAGACTCGCTCAGTATATTATTAGACATTCTCAAGTCTTCCGCTCAGAATAGGAAAACACAGATCTTATGTGTTGCAATGTATTCATTATAATGAGCTTCCAACACCTGTACAATATGGTCTTATACTGTAGTTTCCCCTCAGTGCTTAGTTGTAAACTACTCAAACAACTTTGCAAAATTATTCTCAAGAATTGCAATTATAAATAAAAATGAAGATGGACATATATATATATATATATATATATATATATATATATATATATATATATATATATATATATATAGTACATTGAGATACTTATGTCTTAATCTGGAGACAACTAAAAAAATTATTAAAGACTCAATTTTTTTCCATATTCAAATTAAATACATACAAACTGCCATGTGTTGTTTTTTTTTGTCCAATTGTCATGTAATTTTAAACTTTTAACATGTTGCAAAAAAGAAGAAAACAAAAAAAATGCTAATTACAAGTGTTTCTATCAGTTGGTCCGTAGCAAATTAACCAGGCTTTACAATGCATAATTCTCCAGAAGTTGTCTTTAAGCATGGCTGCAATAACAGGAAGTTGACGGACGCATCTCAGAAATATTGAGAGAGCAGTTTTAATTGTTCAGTCACGTCAACTACTAGAAATGTAGATCTAGTTCATTTCTGTCATGGTAGTACCTGAGAATATGCCAATGGTGAAAACAGCTTATTAGTATTCAGTGAAACTAAGAAAGATAGAAAATTATCCCATTTTCAACAACTCCTTTTATGTTAAAATTTGCAAAAAAAACTGGAAATACAGCCATTTTAATTGTTGCATGTAAAAAAGGGAGTAGTTTTTCCATATGATACAAAGCTCTCTTCATGTGAAATGTGTAGCTGTCAATAGGCAACACAGAGAAAAGCAAAGGACAATTTTACTTTTCCCAGCGATGAACTACGCAGAAGATATAGAAAGACACAATACTGTTGTAAAAAGCAATTTTTTGCTCCATACTATAAAAAGGAAGGATAAAAACAAATCATGTGGGAGGAGGACACAACACAGTCCCATGTCATGACTTAATTTAGGACAACTTGTACTTTAAGACAACATGTATTTTTAGTTACTGTGTTCTATGAACATCTAAAAC